AGCACGGGAGGGTGAGAGAATTCACCAGAGCCAGAGCGGGGAGCAGAGCAGGCAGAAGGACCGAAGTACACTGCTGAGGGGAGCAGTGGGCGGCAGGAGAGGTCTGCGCGCCATGTGGGACCCTCCTCTGGTGACCGGGGCACAGCCGGGAATTGAACTGGCGCTGCAGAGGGTGCGGGCAGCTTCGCAAGCCAGCCCTCAACCGCTGTGCCACCCGGGAGGCCCTATTTATTTATTTTTAAGATTTATTTACTTATACATACAAGAATTGGGGTACAGGCTAGAGGTGTGGAGGGTGAGAGGATTCACCAGAGACAGTGGGAAACAGAACAGGCAGAATGACTGAAATCCACTGCTGAGGGGAGCAGTGGGCGAGTCAGGAGAGGTCTGCTGTGCCATGTGGGTATCTCCCTGGCTGGGGATTGAACTCGTGCTGCAGTGGCTGCAGATAGCCTATTTTAAAGAATCGGATATTAGGTTCAGAGATCCAATCAACTGGGAGGTTGTAGAAATAATATTTGAAGCCAAATTTGCTTACTCTACTGCTCTGAAATTGTGGCAAGACTATTTTCCAGACTTTTCTGAAGATGACTGTTTGCCAGTCCTATTTTTTAAAAGCTATATAAACTTCTCTCCTGTCAAGTAAGGGACTGTGGTGGTGTTGGGAGGAAAGGATATCCTGAACAAACTCCACAAACATGTTTTTAGGACCCCACCCCCACCCCAGACCAAAAAGATCCAAGACATCAAGGACTATAAATTCATAATGTCATCACCACTGAAGGCAGGATTGTTGGGAACTGAGGGTAGAATTAAGCAGCCAGACTTGGTATATAACTAGAAAAGTGGGCCTTGGGGGTGCTTGTTTTTTTTTTTTTTTTTTTTTTTTTTTTGCCAGTTTTCAGTGTACTATTGTGGTCCCAGCTCAGTAGAACTGGTAGGATGCATTCACCAATTTATCTCTCTCTTTTTCTCCCTGAATTATTCCTTTCTTCATTTCCCCTTTTTTGTAAATAAACCATTTGTTAACTTTTTTGTGTGTGGTTGCAGTTGAGGCTCATTATAAATCCCTGTTAAGTGTGCAGGTAAAAACCCACAGTCAGGCAACCCATTTCACATTGGGGTTCTGCAACAGTGGAACCAGAAGGAATAAAAAAAAATTAGTTTGTGAATCGAAGAGACCTATTACTCAGATGCTTCTGGAAGAGCAGGGGCAGGGGATGAAACAGGGCAGGGGATGACCACTGGTTTGGAAGCAGAGAGCCTACACCAAGTCAGCCAGCTGGAGTAGAAATATGAGACTTGCTTGGAGCAATTTCCTGAGACAGCCAGTCCACCATTTATAGGCACTTCGTGGCTCTCACTGAGAGTGAAGAGGGAGTAGTTAAGGTCTCTGTGCCAGATTGGCCACCTGTCACCCCTTATCACCATTTCATTTGGTTAACACCTAACCCCTCAGGGGGCCTGTGGTGAAGTCCACACTTGCCATATCCTCTGCAAAGCTCTGCCTGACACTGTATAACATCAGTTTTTTATGGTGTTTAGTCTAGTTGGGGGTCTAAGTCAGCCATCTTTAAGTTGATTGATAATGCTATATGCGGATGTGAAGGGATAATTTTTCCATTGATTTCTGTGACTATGTTGTATTTGTGAATATTTCAGAGCATGTGCATGCGTGCACACACATGCACACACACAACATTTTGCAGAGAACTTTGTTTGGGAAGAGTTTTAGAAGAACCAACTCTGTGTCCAGTACTACTCTAAGGGCTGGATTCACATCAGGAAATAAAAGAGTTGAAGATCCCTCCTAACATGGAACTTACCTGGAGTTGAGTAGAGATGGGGAGACAATAATAAAGTATGCATAATAAGTAGGTAAATGATACAGTGTGTTAAAAGGTGGTAAGTGTATGAAAAAGAAAAAGTGGAACAGGGTGAGGGAGATGGGATGTGTTGCAATTTTTTAAAAAGATTTATTTATTTATGCATAGAAGAACTGGGGTACAAGCCAGAGGTGTGGGGGTGAGAGAACTCACCAGAGACAGAGTGGGGAACATAACAGGCAGATCTACTGAAATACACTGCCAAGGGGAGCAGTGGGCGAGATAGAGAGGTCTGCTGCGCCATGTGGGTAGCTCCCTGTCTGGCCGGGGATTAACCTCATGCTTCAGAGATTGCGGATAACTTCACAGTGCTGTGCTTAACCCCTTGCACCACCAGGGAGACCCTGGGTTGCAATTTTTAAAAAACAATTTGTATTTATGTTTGTGTAGAAGAACTGGTGTGTAGGCCAGAGGTGTGGGGCGTGATAGGATTCACCAGAGAAAGAGTGGGGAGCAGAACAGGCAGATCTACTGAAATACACTGCTGAGGGGCGCAGTGGGCAAGACAGGAGAGGTCTGCTGCATCATATGTCGATCAGCTCCCTCACCAGGGATTGAACTCGGGCCGTGGCAGTGATAGTCTAAGACTTAACCCATAGGCCACCAGGGAGGCCCTGGGTTGCAATTTTAAATAAATTAGATTTAAAATTTCTTATTAGAAATGGTAATTAAAAATTAGAATTAGAAAAAAAAAACAGAGCCTGATAACAGGAAAGGAAAAGTGTCAGATTGTACTCTTATGTTCAGTGAGTGTTCATTAGAATTAGACTTAGTCACAAAGCAGCTTAATGTCATTAATTTAATCTAATATATCAGGAAATAGAATCTCTCATATTTATCTCAATTTTCTTCTTTCTTCTCTGTCCATTCTCCTTTTACCATCCCCCTCCCCCGCCTTTAAAAATCTTTTCCTTTCCTTCTTTGTTTCTTTCTGTCTTCCATTTTCTTGAACCAAAAAAATTAGAAGTTATGGTGCCTGACTCTCAATGCTCTCAAGATATTTTCAGTCCAGTCAAGGAATAAAGAAGGTCCCGGTGAAGCAATTTGAGAGCAGTATGTCAATGTGAAGATGAGTAAGTCATGTTCTTTATTAAAGTGACTGACAACTTGTCCAAACAAGTACGGTTATTTAGGCAATATTTGGTGAGAGGAGGTATGTTCATTTTGATCTGGGTTGATGGAACTAATGGTAGAAAGCAGGGCAAATAAATCATGAGAAATTATATGGACAAATACTTAGAGGCAAAACTTAACAAGATTTGTTCAAAGATTTGTAGAGATACTGGCTGGGATTGAGTGGACAGATTTAGTTGGATAAATGATCTTGGAGGAATAATGGAGTCGGGTATGTGTGAATTAAGAGTAAATTAAGAATGCTGGTCTCGCATTGCCATGGCGGTCCATGGTGGCATTGCTCCCACTGCAGATGGGCAGCACTAAGCTGAGTACTTGCAGCCCTCGACCAAATGACCAGACATAGACATTGACCATGGTCTGGCAAGAAGTTTGATAGCTGTAGGACTGGGTGTTGCAGCACTTGCATTTGCAGGTTGCTATGCATTTCAGATTTGGAAACCTCTAGAACAAGTAATCACAAAAACTGCAAAGAAGATTTCAACTCCTAGCCTTTCATCCTACTATAAAGAAGGATTTGAACAGAAAATGAGTAGGTGAGAAGCTAGTCTTCTTTTGGGTGGAAGCCCATCTGCTGGCAAGGCCAAGATTAGAACAGCTCATAGGGGAATCATGATTTTGAATCACCCCGATAAAGGTGGATCTCCTTACTTAGCAACCAAAATAAATGAAGCAAAAGACCTGCTAGAAGCAACCACCAAACATTGATTGATGCTCAAGAGCTACTCTGAAGGGAAAAAAGGGTAACTTGAAAAAGAAACGTCTGCAAGTGAATCTAAACCATGTCCTTAATTTTCATACATGTACTGACCACAATCATTTATTCCAAGATTAAACTATATAATAATAAAAGATTAATAATCTTAGTATTAGCATTTAAAAAAAAGAATGTTGGTCTGAGGGGCTTAAAACTTTTTGCGATACTTTATTGAAAGTGTTGAGAAAATAGGACTCTCTGAATCTTAGTTAAGTTACTGAACCATATTCAGTTAAGAAATGACATCTTAAACCTTACTAGAAACCGGAAATTACTGTTCTCAGACTTGTGGTTTATTACATAAATTAGAATAGAGACTATAGAGAGGATGAGAGATTATATATAGTTATAGTTTTCTTTGAGGACATTTAATTCCACTTCCTTTCCCTCTTATTTGCAGTTTTACTCTGTTGCCTGTTGACTTTCTGTCTTTGGTTGTGTTCTTCTCAATTTGATGTTTCTTTTATTTTATTTATTTATTTTTTTTAAATAGAGGCATGTTTTATTTATTTATTTATTCATTTGTTTGTTTTTGTTTATACATGCACTGGGTACAGTCAGAAGCGCGGGAGGGTGAGAGAATTCACCAGAGCCAGAGCGGGGAGCAGAGCAGGCAGAAGGACCGAAGTACACTGCTGAGGGGAGCAGCGGGCGGCAGGAGAGGTCTGCGCGCCATGTGGGACCCTCCTCCGGTGGCTGGGGAGCAGCCGGGGATCGAACCGGCGCTGCAGAGGCTGCTGGCAGCTTCGCAACCCAGCGCTCAACCGCTGTGCCACCGGGGAGGCCCGATGTTTCTTTTATTTTCAACTGAATGTATTGACTATCTTTGAAGGTAAGGAGAAAGTTCAAGATTGAGATGTATCTTTCAAATAACTGAAATGGAATTTAGAATGGAGGGCCCTTAACCTCCACCTAAATGTCCCTTTTAGCAATGCGGTAATAGAGTTCTTAGTACTTCAGCTCCTACTTATTTTAGCCTTTATGTCTGATCATTCATTTCATGTAGCTTCCGAGTTGACTTTTCAATGAACTGTCTGAACAACTCACTACACATTGAACACTTTTCCTGTGAAGCTTCCCAAGAGGGGAGTTCTTTCTTCTTGGCTACATGATGCTGGCTTATTTCTCTCTAGATCCTCTAATCGATCTTATTTGTGGGTGTTCTGAATTTTTCTTTCTTTCTTGTTTTCAGGACTGTTTCTGCTACAGGTGTTCTCTTCATTGCTGTGGCACTTGTGACAGTGACAGAAAGGTAAAGATGTTCATTGGATCCTTTGAGTTGCTTAGTTTTCTGGCTAATAATATGATGGGACAGGAGTAATGTGGGGAAAAAATAAAATCCAGATAAAACCACATTAGTCATTTGTGGACTATACCCAAAGAATACATGCTATGTACATATTGAAAATTATGTTAGAGAAGGATTATCTTATGAATACTGATATTCACTATACAATATTAGATTTTAAAAAAGGAGGTAAAAATAATTATGTATTTGTATAGAAAAAAAGAATAAGAGATACCAAAAATTCTATAAGGGCTATTTCTATATGGTGAACTTACCAGTAATTTCTTTACTTTCTTTTTGTCTATATTTTTCTTGCAATTAATTAGTAGGTTTTTTTTTTTTTAAAGTCAAGTTTTTTTTTTTTAAAGATTTATTTGTTTATTTATACAAGCACTAGGTACAGTCAGAAGTGTGGGAGGGTGAGAGCATTCACCAGAGCCAGAGCAGAGAGCAGAACAGACAGAAGGACCGAGGTACACTGCTGAGGGGAGCAGCGGGCGGCAGGAGAGGTCTGCACGCCATGTGGGACCCTTGCAGGTGGCCGGGGATCGAACTAGCGCTGCAGAGGCTGCAGGCAGCTTCGCAGCCCAGTGCTCAATTGCTGCGCCACCAGGGAGGCCCTAGCGTTTTTTTTTTTTTTTTTAAAGATATATTTATTTACACATATAAGAACTGGGGTACAGGCCAGAAGTGCAGGGTTGAGAGTATTCACTAGAGACAGAGTGGGGAACAGAACAGGCATACTGACTGAAATACACTGCTGAGGGGAGCAGCAGGTGAGGCAGGAGAAGTCTGCTGCACCATGTGGTTAGATCCCTGGCTGGCAGGGGTATCAAACTCGTGCTGCTGAGGTTGCAGATAGCTTCACAGTGCTGTGTTTAACCCCTTGTGCCACCAGGAAGGCCCTAACATGTTATTTTTAATAAGGAGAGACATTGTTATTATCTCCCCAAGAAAGGTAATCTTGGTTGGTTATTACGCAAATCTGACTTTCTAAACAAGAATTGAAATGCCTACCTTAAAAGCAAACAAATAAAATTGAGCTAAATATAATAGTTCAACCGCTTCGGCCTTTGTTTGTTAGTAAGCCTAGAATGACTGATTTGAGTTTGTTCATTTGTTCATTCATCGTTTGTTTAATGGATTTATTAAACACCTGGTCTGTATGGCACACTATTCTGGTAGTGTAATATTGGTAATATTAGGTAAAATATTAGTAATTGGTAACAGTAGGTAAAATATTGGTAATATTAGGTAAAATCTTATCCCTGTCCTTGGGGATGTAATTTCTAGTTGCTGGGAGGTGTCTAAATTAGTTATTCGACAAGATGAAAAAAGAGCAAAAAATGATGTGGGGGGAGAGTCTCCATTTCTACATCTGTTCATGTATGGATCATGTGAAACTTAACTATAAAAATATAATCCTTATAGCGAATTATGACAATAGTTAACATTTTTTTAAGTGCATGCTATGCTGTAGAAAAGTGATTGTCAAAGTGTACTTCATGGTTCCATGGGTCCCTGCCATTTTTTCAGATGTACCAGGTCAAACAATTTTCATAATAATATTAAGATATTATTTCCTTTTTAAAAATATGTTGGCATTTGTACTGGTGGTGTAAAAACAATGGTAGGTAAAATTGTTCTTGCCTTACCATGAATCAAATTAGTAGCACCAATATCTGCCATTAATAAAATCACTGTGCTCATCCTTGACACACACAGACACTGATAAATAGCGCCAATTTCTTAAGAATGTTTTGATGAAAAAAATAAAAATTATTAACTTATTAAGTGTAGACCCTTGAGTACATACTTATTCAATATTCTATGTGACATAATGGGAAATACATATAAAACACCCAAGATGGATGTTGTGTTGAGAAAAAATACATTTGTGAGAGAGTGATCCCTTTTCTTTATGTTATACCATTTTTACTTGAAAGAACAACTGACATGCAAGCTACATTTTTCATACATGGGTATTTGGTGATATTTTCTCAAAAATGAATGAAATGAGCCTGTCATTTCAAGGAAAAACAATTGACAGTGTATGTTGCCAATGATAAAATTTGAACTTTCATCTGAAAATCAGAATTTTGAAAGGCTGTGTCTAGCACTATGAATATGTCAGCTTCCCCAAACTCAAAACGAGTGATATTGTGGTGCTATTAATGAATGTGATTTTTTTCATACTATCTAAAGAAATATGTCATTGTTTCAGAGACCTGCATAACTGAGTGAACTAATACTTTGCAAATGACCAATGCATGATGTTATAAAATAATATGTAAATGAAAGATCCATTCAAAATATGAGCTAGGTCAGTATATTTTAATGCAGCAGGGAATGAAATGTTTATTGGTATCATTTCAGATTTCACATCACAACCAATCTATTACTTACTAAATTGGTAAAGTATCAGAGAAAATATTCAGTTATCTGAAAAGGTTGTTAAAATATCCTCTTTTCCAGTTACATTCTTTGTGAGGCCAGATTTTTTGTATACTGTGATCAAAACAACATACTGTGATAGACATGAAAGCCAGTCATTAAAGAGATTTACCAAAAATGGAAAACAATCTCTTCTCACTATATATATATTTTTTTTTAAAGATTTATTTATTTATGCATACAAGAACTGGAGTACAGGCCAGAGGTGTGGGTAGTGAGAGGATTCACCAGAGACAGAGTGGGCAACAGAATAGGCAGACTGAGTGAAATACACTGCTGAGGGGAGCAGTGGGGAGACAGGAGAGGTCTGCCTCACCATGTGGGTTGCTCCCTGGCCACCCGGGGATTGAACTTGTGTTACAGAGGCTGTGGATTGTTTCATAGTGCAGTGCTTAACCCTTTGCGCCACCAGAGAGGCCCTCACTATATTTTTTGAAAAGTATAATTTTTCCGTAAAAATATATTGCTTAGGTTCACATGTAATTTATATATCCTGTAACAAGGTTTATTATTGTTATTTTAAAATGAATAAATGAAAACATTAAAATATCAATTTTAACTTTGGATACTATAAATATAGATAAATGCAACCCACATTAACAAAAATTCCATGGAGTTTTGGAAATTTTTAATAGTATAAAAGGGTTTTGAAGCCAAAAATTTTGAGAATTGCTACTCTGGATATGACACAAAACAGTTATTATTATGTGTAATCCTGCATAATCTTCACAACCACTTTAATTATTACAGGTATTACTTTATTGCCATTTTATGAGTAAGGAAAATAAGTTTGAAAAAGTGATAACTTGTCTAAAATCATATAACTGCTAAAGAGAGGTGCAAACTCAATAAGTAAATGCAATAAACAGATGGTTTTGAATGGTGGGAGGGAGAGGAAGCTTTCACAAAGAGGGCAAATTTGAGCCCAAGGGATGATTCAATAGGACAAGGAGAAAAGGGGTGTTTTTGGTTGTTTATTTTTTTTTTTGGTTTTTTGTTTGGGTTTGAGTGTTTGTTGTTTCTGTTGTTTTTTTCCAGCTTTAGTGAGATATAATTGACCGATTTGTAATAGATTTTACCTTTGTTATGTGATGATTTTATTTCTTTATGATGTGTCATTATTTTACATCCTTGTTTGTGTTTTCACAATATAGGATTTCTCCCCTCAGGTGTAGTCACCACAGTTTCCCCTCCACTGAAGCACCCAGAGTCCTCCACCATAGTTCATTGTGTCTCCCCCCTCCCCCCTCATGCCCCCCTTCATTTTCCCTTCTCTCTTTCCCTCCCCCTCTTTTTCTCCTTCTAGATGCCTCAGATCTATGGTCTGCTTTCAAGAATCAGTTTTAAAGTTTGTCTTTGGTCCTTTGATTTCTCGCTATTCTACATATAAGTAAAACCATAGGTATTTATCTTTCTCCTTCTGGGTCACTTTACTTAAGATAATTGGAAAGGGGAGTTTTACTCATGCTATTGGAAAGGGATAGCGTGAGTAAAGGTATTTGAGTGAATGGTTAGTGTGGAACCAAGCTTAGCTGAGGTTTCGCCATTTTGTATATCCTCCACCTTGATATGTTAGTCCTTGTCCAGCCGCATTCCGGAGATAGTTTCAGCAGTCACAACCCTCACTCCACTTGGTGACGAAAAAGCAGACCACCCCAGCCACCAATGAGGGCAGTCCTGTCCATAAATGGGACAGCATCTCTAACCGTCCAATCAGTTTGAAACTGTAACCGCGCGCGCCAAAATGCCTTTGTAGTAGCCAGTGAGTAATTGCCAGCTTCTTGCAAAGTTCGTGCCACTCACGACCCTATAAGATACCCCTGCTTCCTCTGTTCGGGGCTCTCGACCTCTGCCGTTGCATCAGTGTGTGTCGAGGGCCCGGTCTCGAGCCCGTAATAAACTCCCTTTTGCATTTGCATCAGCTGTCTTTGGATTCTTGGAGGCTATGCTCGCGGAGTCTGCTGATCTTGGGCACAACAGTTAGGGTAGGGGTCCCTAACCTTTTCTTGTGCTACAGACCCCTTTGGCAATCTGATGAAGCCTGCTGGAGCTTTCTTAGCATAATGTTTTACAATGAATAAGATAAAATACATAAAATTATAAAAAAAGTCAATTATATATCATATATGCAGCCATCAAAATATTTTAAAACCAAAAATATTTTAAAATTTATATTTAATAAATTTTATTAATGCATTAAATAATGAGTTCTAATATTGATGAACATAAATTATATTTCTGCACCAATTATAAAATGATATGAAAACATCTGCATTCTACTGATGATTAAGTCACAGGCTCTTTTCATGTTATTGTGGTTTGTTGTCTACATGAGTAATGGGAGGAATTGTTAAGTTTCAGTTAAAGTGATGATGTAAACTTTTTCCATCTAAATTCACATATTTGTGAGAAAACTCTGGGACTGCTCCTTAGTCCTAGGATGTCTTTTTGTTTTGCTCATGTCTTTTTATTTTTGCTGTTAGTCCTTTGGAGTGTTGCGTGGGGTGGAG